CAAGTGACCACTCGTCAGGAATGCAAAGGTTGAATACACAGCACAGAAATGCTGACTTTACAAGGTGAAACCTGAATGCAGTTCCTTGCAACTCCCTTATATGGTGATGCCATCCAATGGAAATCAGTAGCAGCATTTAATATTTGAAATATCAGGAGGAGTTAGTTTGTGTATTCCAAAAAATATTCATTTGACTTAAGAAATTATTATGGAAATCAATTTTTTACCTGTCAATTTTAACTGAAGAACGTCAATAGATAAGTTACTGTTACAAGGCAAAAACAAAATGAACTCCCACATTCAGGGAGTCGTGAGAGAACGTGAAGTCTTATGACTCACAGTTAAATCTGAAATCAGAGGTGAACAGAATGAACAAGAAAGGGAATATTACCTTCTGTGGTGCCTCTGTGATGCTCTGCAGTGTGTCAAACACGCCCCTCTGGAGGCCGACGGACTGCAGCGCGTCAGCGATGTGGTAAATAATTCAGGAAAACATGGCGTCCAATCCGTCCACGTGCATCACTCAGAGCATCTCCTTAGAGCAGGAAGGGCTCGATGGTGTGTACGAGTCTGGATGAATCAAAGGCCGTGATTCTGACTGTGCCTTTCAGCGTCTGGAGGTGGGAATGAGTCATATGGAGCAGATACAGAATATGAGAGCAGTCCATCATTACAGGTGTGACCTGCTTCTTGAAGGTCCTCATTACACATGATGTCAATGTGACCAACAGGTAGCCATTAAATGTGTTCCTCCTGAGGCCGGGGTGAATATAAGCAGGGAAAACCTCTGCAGCTCTGCTCTCCCTTTCAGATGAGATGATAGACAGGCATGAAGTTTGTGAGGGTGGGGGTTAACGTGTTGACCGTCAGCTTTATGCACATGATGGACACTCTGAATCAATTTAATGTGCAGCAGCAGCAGCATTGACTCTACAGTAGCCTTGCTCTGTGTTGACTGATGCTTCGATCACAGGAAGCAGCTCCATTTCCGAAACACTGCCAGTTGCAGCAGTGGCAGCAATTAGAGTAAATCTCAGTTTCTCCTCCGATTATCTGGCCGGCTGAGGAGGGAAACCATTAACGCTCACTACCGCCTGCTCCTCGGTGCACATGTTAATTTGACAGAAAACACAATTGTGTCACCAGCCACGTGGAACATGTTTTCTCATGCCTAACCAGCCAGGGTGGTCATGGCTGTTGCACCGGTGACGTGCCTGTTGGGGCGCGCGATAATTGGACAACATCTGGCGATGCATTTCATTTATGGGTGGGACTTTTCTCAGCATTGACCTGCCTCTAACCTCCACCCACTCTGTTGTTTTTGCAGCATTATAAAAACTCAAACAGTTTTTGAGATGTTGAGCTGTTTGTCTGGTTGTGTAATCTTGCAGGCAAGTGAAGGGGGATTGAGTAGTTGTCCGTCTGTGGGGCAGGTGCAGTGTGGCTCCTGGGGGACTGTAATGGGATGAGGCCCAGCCGGAATGAGTGTTTGATGACGGGTTTGCACTCCTCCCCTGGGACTCAGCCAGCATGCAATTATCCTCCCGATCTCTTCTCTAGTCTGCAGTCCAAATCGTACACAGCGACCTCTCCAAACTGCTGCCTGAATATCCTCACAATCAGAAATTCAAATCCCTCATATGCAAAAAGAACAAGTAATTACAACCCCGAATTTCAAAGCAGTATTGCAGTAATTACTGTTTTATGGCACCCTCCAGCATGACATTACACTACCACGGGGCAATTGAATTTATAAACGCCTCCTTCTCCTCCCTTGCCAATTGCTTTATTAATGGTGAGCTCGGCAGCCCAAATCAGTCTGTGTCACCAGACATATTATATGTCTCTGCTCTCCACCCACTGCCACAGATGTGCAAACTGAAACCAATATATATTTTTAAAAATATTGCTGTTCAGAAATAAGATTACTGAATCTCCTCTAGATGTTTTTTTGAAATCTCTTGTTTTTGCAAAGAGCTTCTGCTTAAGATGTTCAACTTGGAAAGAAAAAAAAACGCCCTCCCTTTTATGATATGCAAATGGCATCCACTGTAAAAGATCTCCATCTTGTAAAGCTCCCCCGAAAGCAACAAGAACTGTGTGCTATCATTATTTTCATCTGTGCACTGAAACATTTATTAGTACCAAACTACTGACACGGTACTGAGGCGGGGCAACAGTGATGCTATTTAAGTGCGACATTTTCCGACCCGCAATATGAGGAGTGAGAATTGCATCTTCCACAATCCGAGGAACAGGAGGGGGCGTTGCAACATCCAATTCGTTTTCCTCCACAAAACTGGTTTCCTACAGTTGCATGTGAGGTAATCTATCACAGTTCCTTCCAGTTCCCCTCCCCCACATCACATTACGTTGACAGCTTCATACCCTCCTCTCTACAGCATGCTCATATCAAGCTCGTATCACACTCGAGACAAAGGATGAGAGGCCGATAAGATTCTACACGACATTCCCGTTGCAGCCAGTGCTTTGCTTTGAAATCTGGATGGAATGACGGTGATGAATTTGCTGACAAGGGAACATATTTTACAGCTTGAATTGTGTTTTAATCTCCTGCATGTCGTGAAAAAAGGGGCGTTCCATGACCATAAAATAGCTACAATTTACAGTAGCGTTTCTTTTATGGCAGCATCCAACGATCAATGTCATAATCGATTAATCTTTGCAGCTGTACTTTCTTTTGTTGTGGCTTTTTTTCTTCAACTCAGTCCCCTCCCTGTCCTTATGTGCAAAACTACAGTCATGTTTCTGCAACCACAGCACCCCACTGGAGTGTCTGACAGCACAGTTTTCATGGGATGTCCTGGAAAGGGCGTCGTGAACCTCTTTCATTCTGTTATTCACAAGCTGCACCAACATTTTATATGACTCAGTGGAAGCCTTACACTTCCATCCACCTCTTCCTCACAGCTTCACAGCGAAAAAAACCCCCAAATGAAAGCGACAATCCCTCTTCCTCGGCGCATGCCTGACGGTGATGGCCACTGATCAGCATCCTCTGAGTGGGACACAGGTGTGCGGAGGGCCCCCTCCTGCCTCTGGGAACAAGGGCCAGGCTGGAGCGGCTTAGGCACGTGCCGAGGGAGGGCTCTACACCCCTCCACCCCGCCCCTCTGAGGCCTCCCTATTCACACCACCAGATGGGGGCTGGATCTGAGTTTTAATGAATGCTATCCTTCACGACCCTTTAGAAGCCGCAGAACAACAGTCGCCCTCAGCATGTCACACTGCAGTGTGTTACCCCACGCTGGCACAGAACAATAACACACTGGACAGAATCAAAAACAAGCCAAGGATAAGATGTGAGAGCAGGAAATGCTGTGCGTTTCATTTCTAATTTCACATCCTCACTTGGGGAAAGTGTTTTTTATTTAAATAAAAGACAGAAATGCTACATACTGTATTCCCACAAATACTAAATTCATTGTTGAAGGGATTAGTGGCTGCTTGAACAGATTTAAGAGACGTCTTGTAGCCTCACACATTTAAAGTGGTCTGCTGCAGTTATTATGGGGCTGTCGACCTCCTGCTGTTTGAAGTGATACAATAAGAAAACCTGTAATTTCACTTTGCAGGTTAAGAGCAGACGGCAATTTTCTCCCATTTATGAGACACAAAAACTAGTTGGTAAATATAGCTGCTTTATATTATTAGGGTTTTAATCCTGCGGAATGAAACGGTTATTTATATTTAAATATTGCAGCTCCGTCAAAGAAAACTAAAGATTCTTTGACATAAAGAGATTGAAAATCACGGACTTTCCTTGTTATCAGATGTCAGACATGGGCATCATATAAATAATCGGTAAAACATGTTCTCCTTTCATAGAGATACAGGCAAAGGACTTAATTGTAGGCTTCTAATTTGGAGTGAGACTAACACATCTGAATCATCACCGTGGCTGCTAAGACACTCTGCCAGATATGTGCAAGGCTGTGAAGAAGAGTGAGAAACAAAATCTAAAAATGTGTTCAATCCCAAAGTCGAAACAATAAAGTGCTGCTTGTTAACATGTAGAGGATGAAAACTCTTTGCTGAATAAACTCATTTAATTATTTCCTTTGAATACCCAACTGGCTAAAACCTGATCTAACATGCTGAAAATCAAAATGAACTTTATTTGCATACATCTATAACCGAGATCCGTTCAATCCTTGTTGGTTTCCATCCAGCCAGATGAATATGTTCTTCATTGGATGGAAATAAATTGGTTGTGTACATGCAACCCCTCACTCGGTGACCCGTGTCTGTCTCAACGTGAATTGCTTTTGTGGCGTGTTAAACGAGCCGCGGTCGTGTTGGTGTTTCCCTCCGCACGGCGGCCGGGTCTCTAATCTGCTGTCTGCCACGGTTATGTCACACACACACACACACACCAGCTATTGTGTGATTGACGACGCCTGATCTGACTAACTGATCCCTCGCGCGCAGAGGTACTCCGACACATGGGCGAGGTCGGGGATGTGTGAATTGGCAGTCGAGTCACATCACTGGCATTAAGCCAATCAAAATGTTTGGATTCAGAAGGAGTGCAGCTTTGTTTTGCGAGGAGGCAATATTGACAGATGGTGTGTGAGAAAGTGAAAATGATTTTAGGGTGTGTACAGTTAGAAAAGGGTAAATTAGATTACACAATGTCTTTCCTTTCTTTTTGCAATTTCTTAACAGCCCGTTGTCCTTTAAGACCATTTTCTAGGACCTCATAAATCAGCAGCTACAGAATGATTTTTAAACACTACATCTATAATATCATTTGGTAGTGAGGTGGGATTTATGGGGCCAAATAAAGCCTTGAATCTCCGGAGACTTATTTATGAAGTGTAAACTATTCACTGCCTGAAATCTCTACTTTCAATTTAATTGAGTCAGATGACGTGCTGCTACAAGGCAGCATGTGGTTCTACCATCTGTCCAAACCGTTTTTAACAAATATCCAATTGTATTGAGAAAAACAATGAATCCCACCACTACAAGGTGCATGGATAAAATATTACAAAGATTACAAAATCCACTGAAGTGAGCATACTAATGCTTTTATGATACCTGTGTTTTGGTAATATTACCAAAATGCTACTTTTTTGACACCTTCCTCTGCTTGAAAATAAACACTTTTCTACAAAAATCAGTTTTTTTCCCCCATTAAAAAACCCAAAGTTATTTAATGTTGAATGTCAATGTGTCATGTGATGCCAGCTTTGAGTCATTGACGCAGTTTACAAAAATCTGTGCCCTGGACGTTTTCTTTGGTAACAAAACGTACTGAGGTTTATTACCCGGCCTTATAGTCACACATTGCATAAAGATATAAACAGACTTAGACATTTTGGCATCTTTTTGTACTCTAAATAATCATTAGACTGACAGTCACTTGTTTACAGCTGACAGGAGGTCTCCCCACACACTCAGACCTCCGACATCAAAGTCTCCATCGGACATTTTCAAAGCATTTAGCTCTTTTTCTACATCGTCTCTCAAAGAGGGACAGGTCTCAAACAAGCCTAGGAAGTGCTGGGTCAGTCTGTTGAAGGACACTGTTCGGTTCTTTCTGGGTTGAACCCATTCACCCTCACTTATGCTGTACTCCATATCGGCTGCCCACTTTTTCAGCAAATCGCAGTATGCATGTCTAAATTTCAGGTGTTCTTTGGTCAGGTCTATAATAAGTGTAGCAGGCAGAGCAGAACACATGTGCTGCAGCACACTTTGTTCTTTCTGCAGCCAGTCCAAGAGAAAGTCCTGTGAAGTGCTTTGTGAAGCAGAGTTTTTCTTTGTCAGCAGAGCTGCAGCGATGACAAGACAGAAATGTCCTGCTGCGCCTTCAAATCCCCGGAGGACAGAGTCTAAAATATGCTCTGTGCGGCAGGCTTCACTGCCTTGGCTCAGCAGAGCATCCAACCTCTCCATCAGCATCGCCGCCTGCACCTCAGCATCAGCACCAACACCAACAGCTGACAGGTCTGTGAGAGGACTCAGGACTTTACAAGCAGATTTGCATTGAATGATGTGGCTGCAGAAGCCGGTGACGTCCTGGCACTCACTCTGCTGGGTGTTTACAGGACTCGCAGTGTCAAAGAGTACCTTCATGATGGAGATGGGCAGCTCGGGGTTTTTCAACAGCCCAACAAGCAACAGGTGCTGACACCGGGAGAGGTCCGAGAGGGAAACTTCAATGTATCCCGCAAAGGCAGCTCGCAAACTTTGATTTGTGAGCTGCAGCTGCTTCTCCATAAGCATCCTTATCGCGGGGTTGTTGTGAAACCTGGAAAAGAGGCGTTCGCAGTACCGGGCCCACTGAACAGCTCTGGACAGAGTTTGTTTATCCCATCGCTGCACCTCACCGCTCAGCGCCGCCACCGCCAGCAGCTCCGTCGTGCTCGCCACGTTTTTCAGCACCGCCTCCATGTGGCGCTCTCCGCGTCCACAGGTCAGCCTCTGAGCGCTGCTGGTGGACGCTCACTGAGAGAGAAGCACACAGTTCAGCTAAACATTCACCCAAAACTGTCTTCTGCCGCCGACACACTGCAAAACGTTATCGTTAATAGGCTAGCTAGCGGGTTAGAAACAGGTTAGCTAACAACAACAACAGCAACAGTTAACATAACTTAGATTCGAGCAACAGCACAGGGCTTCCGGTGGCACGTTTCAAAACAAAATTATTTGTAACGAATGCTGTTTCATATTATATCCAGCGTTGACAGTATGACAAGCTATCAAAGGGATATTTAGTAGAAATTAACATACTTATGTTTTTCCTTTACTCGCGTACCCCGGCCGCTTGTTTGTCCCGCTTGTACTACTGCGCATGCGTCCTTGAGTGCGAAGCCTTGGCAAATGTATTTCCTTCAAAGTAAAAGCCGCAGAGTAACACCAGCAACACGCACAGAAAAAGTGCAGAATTGAGGTAAGCGAAACTCAGTATACACACATTTGGATTTTGTTTCTATGGTTTACTTTCTCACAAACATAATAATGTAGTTCATTCCCTATATTACATCAACACTATTGTAAAAACAAAACCCATCTAATTAGATAAAAAACGTAATTAATGCATGACAATAAAGCAATTACCTATTTTATTTATTTGGGGTTGTGTCTGCTTCATTATGATTTATTTACAAAATTAACAAAACAGTGTCATTTGAATTTAGTATTCATGATTTGATATAGTCAGGGTCTGTCAGTTGGATCAGATTACATGGGCACACAGAAAAAAATGGAAATCCATTTAATCAAAGTATATCGAAGGATTGAATTTCTGGGGCTGACCTGCTGAATGCAGTCCAGAAATGTCATATTGAGGCAACACAAAGCGGAGCGAAAGAGGCACTGCCAGCAGGATCAAACTTCCCTCCCATCAGCAGCAGCGCGAGTTTATGTGTGTGTGTGAGTGCATTCAGATCCTTGTGCAAATGCGCAGCGGTCCACATTGGTTCAGTGTTTTGGAGACTAACCTGTCGGTCGGTGCACCGTGGTGAAAAGCATGAAAACTGGGATCCAGCAGCTCTCAGGACGAGTGAGAGGAAGGTGCGCACTAACGAGCTGAACCCTCAGGGCGAGCACAGGTAAGGAGCTTCTTTGGACTCATGCAAAGACATTTGCGCTGCTTAACTGTTGCCAAATGAATGACAGACTTTTGAATGTCTTTATGTATAATCTGTTTTAGGTTGGGGGTACTTATACTTTATAGCCCCTTGCTCTTCTCACTGGGGGGTTGTGCCCTTTGCAAAATGTCATATTCAATTTTTAAAAGTTGGGACTCAGTTCAGTCTTAATTCTTGACAGTGAAGAAGCTGTTCATTCTTGTTTCTTTTTTTTTTTTTTGACATTTCTCAAAAAATAATTTCAAGGCATCTTTAATTACACAGAGTAACATTTTTTGTTCAGTTGCAGCGTTCAGTGATTTCATTGGTTTTAATTAGTGTGCTCTGCTGTTCAGTCATAACTCATCAGGCGTCCTCCCTTGATCCTATTTCCAGAGTGGTGAAATGTCTGTTGTGGCTGCTTTTATTTGTGACAGTTGTAAAGGAGGAGGCAACGTTAAAATTGTATAACAGTTGTAAATAAAATGTGCTGCAGTGTTTTAAGAGGCAGATGCAACAGTCCAAAACCAGTTTATTGCACTAAATTCATATAGCAACAAAAGATCTGTGTAATGCAAGAATGAGTGTGCTATGCAGACATGTTGTCTGTCTGAAGTGCAGTTTGCTTGTAGTGAAAAGGGAAACAACACGGGGTCTTCAAATGCAGGCCTATGCTGCCTGTTACATTTGGAAATTATTTAGTCGAGAATAAATCAAATGCAAGATTACAGCTCAGGATTTATGACACCATGTGGTTTAGTAAGACAATAACTGTTTTGTTGGAATGATTGTGTGATATGATATTAAACAAGCTTTGTGCTGTAGACTTATTGTATTGGTGATGTTACCACACAAAAAAAATCTGCTTTTGTTGATATCTGCTGCAGATTTCATACTTAACTAACCACAGTTGATGATGCAATTGGATAGCTGAAAGCAATACTGACTCACAACACACACACACAGTACTTCTCTGTTGGAGAAACATGCTGAGTTTCCTTGTTTAAATGGACAATTCAGTCTCCAGATCAGTTTACTGTTGTAGTGGAGAAAGGCATGAAGGGCTGTGAGGGTTAGGAGTACAGAGACACTCTTGTTTTTTTGTCTGTGATTCAGCAGTCGAAATTCCCATCCATATGCCTTTCCTGGAGCAATCTGCAGCCAACTGTGGCAGGTTATGACGGCTTTACTGAAGTCATGAGGCTTTTCAGACTGAGAAAAATAAATTGTATATCTCTAATCGAATATCTCTGGACTATAAGATGTATTTTCTTCTGCTTCTGAACCTGGGTGTACTGTCAGATTCTGAGTCAGATTCTGAAAAATAACATGAAGCAGCAAGTTCAGCAGATGGTCCATGCTACATGAAGCCTAGCAGAGTGGTGGAGTTGGCTGTGTTCTTGGCCTGCAGTGGAAGAGGTCAGGCGACAGTGTGGTGAGAGGAAACCAGGTATGTTTAACAACAGCTCCTTGTTTCTTTAGGAAACTTTCCTGGGAAAAAGTGAAGAAAACCGAGTATGATCTCCATGATCCCGTTGAGAACATACAGCTTTTGAATTAAGTATGTTGTTCAATGACAGATGTTTACCCAGCAGAACTCCAATGCATTTTTCTGCATTTTAAAATGAGTTATGTGGCTTGAGAATCACATGAGAAAGTTGGATACATGGTTTTCATTAGCCAGTGAAGAAAATATACTGAATATCAAAAACGAGTGTAAAATATTTAAGATACATCTTCACTGTGCTATGTTACCCATTGACAGATATGTCAAAAACAAATATCTTTATAAACACCAGTGAATGGTGCTTGTGCTGTGAGACATGAGAAGTTGTCCCAGTGCCCTTATTCTGTCTGTCAGCCTGCACCACTGTGGACGTGTGAATGTAGCACCTGCGTGTGAGTGCTGAGCTCCAGAGTTTATTGTGTGTAAGCAACATGGAGCTCTTGTCTTCAGGAAGATAAGACGACCTTGGTCGGACATCAAGGCCCCGATGTCCAGCGTGGCACCACAGTGTGATTTGGTTACAGCCAACTGCAGGGGGACCTTGACATGTTACAGAGCTTTAAAGGTCAGATTCCTCACGTTGTGTTGCACTCCCTCGGTATTCAGAGGACATTTTCAGCCATCACAGACTATGAGCTAATTGTTCATGGAAGCTTCCCTTCCTTGTGTGAATGAGCTCTTCTTCTAATTTGCATCAAATATCCTGTTGCTATTTGCCTAGCGTGTAAGATGTTCCTGCTGGTGTCCAAGCTGGAGGCAAAGCTTTTTTAGATGCCACAACTTGATTTCATTACAAAGAGGCGATTGTACTCAACCCACTTTCTGTTTCTTTAATGACGCCTGAAAGAAGAATTTAGTGAAGACAAAAAAACAGAAACATATCAATCACACTCAGTCATCTATGTTGTTAAGTCATCTGTCACAATAGAATATGTAAGCTGTACGTTTCTTAATTCATAAAATGATGTCCGTACATTCTCTCGTTCCATGTCAGCGCTTACATCTGGTGCCCAGTTGTTTTGTCAGTTACTTGCATCATCAGCAAATGCACTAATGGAGTGACACTGGATTGAAATGTGAAAAGATTTTTACATTATAGCTCAGACAGTGAACATCTGGCACACTGTACCACCAGACTGTGAGAAATGTCTCATTTACTTATTGACTTCACTTTGCAGGCAGTGAGTAGTTGTTAAAATGTCGCTCTGAATATTGATGTCAAATCCAGTCTCTCCATCAGGCTGCAATGTAAGGCCTGCTGCAGTGTCGGCTCGATTGAATTGATTTAGACTCTGATAGACTGGTTCTGTAATCTGAAGGAGCTCTTTGTCTGTGGCTGCTGTTTGTTGAATAGAGGTCCTACTGTACGTGTGTGGCTGGTATGAAAGTGTCTGTTGTCCAGTGAAGAGGTGGACAGGAACCTTACTGTCTCATATCATCAGGTGGACTGAAAACCAAACCGGGATTCGTGCCAAGAGGACAAAAGCACTCTGATCCCTCTTCTCTTGTATTCATTTGATCGGCCTCCTCTAGGGCCTGGATGACAGCTGTTATTGAAGAATATTGTCATGATAATTTAGATTTAGAAAGAAATGTTCAGACGGTCTTCATTTCCATGAGTGATTCCTTCTATCATCATAATATACCATAAGATTTACAACTTGATGGTTTCTGTTAGACTGTTGGCTGGTCAAAGCCTGAAAATGTTGTTGAATAAACACCCATCACAGTTTCAACAAAAAAAAGGACATTATAAGCTTCACACATGAGGTATTGATTGAAGAGCTGCTCTACGGTAGACTATTACACATATCCATATTGATTTTATAGACAGCACACATGTTTGAAGTTCCTTTTGCAAACTCTCACTGACGTCTTTGTGATCATCGTCTTTGTGCGTCCTGTCCTCCTGTCCTTCCTCAGGCCGTCAAAAGGGAACCATGTGCAGCTTCCTGAGCCCCAAACAGCCCAGTGGCCCCGGCTTCACAGATATGCAGCAGTATCAGCAGTGGCTGGCCAGTCGACATGAAGCCAGCCTGCTGCCCATGAAGGAAGACCTGGCCCTGTGGCTCACTAATATCCTCGGTAGGAAACACTCATAATCATCACATGACCCCACTAATAGTAATTCTGTATTTATCATAAACAAGTTGTATGGAAATAATTTCTTCCAATACATTTTAATTATATATTGTCCCTCAGTTATTTATTTCCCACAAATCTTGCTATTTTTGCTAACAAATACAAAGCACTGTCCTAGAAATAGCTTGGCTTTGAATTGCCTAACCTTCAGCATTAATTGAACTGGTGTTGCTGATGCAAACACCTCTGCTGTGGACTGGAATCAATCTGAACCTCATTACAAACACTTTTAAAGTCACTAGAATGTGTGAACCAGTTCCCTGTTCACCCTCCCATACATTTTCCTTAATTGAATAATGGCCGTCATTACGAGTTCTCGAATAATGCGCAGCCAGTGGTGGAGATTAAGCAGCAGAGGGAACATCAGCAGAGGCTTTGTGCAAGGTTGCTATTGCATAATAAATCACCCTTTGTAGTGTACTTCTTCAACAGTGCAGTCACAAAACAAATGCATGGAGCACTCTGAGGATCTGATTTGAATTTAGAGACTCAAATCGAATTGGGTGTGTTTGCAGAAAGTTAAGTTTCATATTAACACATAATAGTCTCTGTATGGTTTATGCAGTATGGTTTATAGTGGGAAAAAGAGAATATTCAGGTTTAATTGTGGCACCAGTGACCAACCAGTGTCCGCACAAAAATGTACTTGTTAGCAAAACCCATATTCTTACAATTCCTCCTCCACCAGAGTTGATGACAATGTAAGAATTCAGCAATTGTTCGCTGAATTTCTAAGAGGCTAACAGTCTGTTTACTATTATTTTATGTATGAGCATTTCAAGTTTTGTTAACGAGTTTATAGTCTTTAGGAAGTGAGGCATTCTGCTGATGCACCTCAGTATTTGAAGCTTTTCTTCCAAATTTCTTTTGAAATATTTGTAGCTGTACTTGATACGGTAAAAATTATTCACCTGATGTCTGGGAGTTACTCCATGGGACATCCTGCAGACTGTAAACAGTCCAACAATAATTTCTCAAATCAACTGGAAGCCGGTTAAGTTTCTGAAACTGACTCCTGTGTGTGTGTGTGTGTGTATGTGTGTGTGTGTGTGTGTGTGTGTGTGTGTGTGTGTGTGTGTGTGTGTGTGTGAGCTACTTAAAACAACTTCAGTATCTCATTTGTTATCTCTGGCAGTCTGTGTGTTTGCGCTGGAACCAGCTGAGCTAGAAACCTCTGGTGTGCTGTTGGGATCAAAGACAAAAAAAGATTTCAGAGCATCCACATATTTGCAGTAAATGTTGAACCAGTTTGTTGGTTTAAAGGTGTTCAGCACCATAACATTCTCAGAAAGAAGGCGCTGGTATGCTTAGCAGGGTTTATAGTTTCAGGTGGGAGGAGTGATGCGGCATAACGAGTCCACTGATTGAGTGGGAGGCGGATGCTTGCTTATACTGATGAGTCATACTGCTGTTGTGATGGGGGGTTGAATGAACCAAGCAATTCATGCGAGTGAGTATTTGAGTTGAACTGTTTCTCTCAGAGCCCTCTGGAATATATTTTCCTCACACATGGATCGAGGGAGAGTCTGAGCATAAAAGACGGGAGCTCACTGAGTATTTCTCAAGATTTCAATCTCTCTTTTCTGGGCTCAATTACAACATTTGGAACTCATTAAACGTCGAACCCCCAAGACCCCTCCTCCTATAAGAAACAGAAAAGGGATTAAAAAAAAAAAAAAAATCTCTCCGGTTTCTTTCCACAGACACCCCCCTGCCACCACCTCCTTTTTCACAATGATCTAACTATGAAGGAATGGTCCTCTGGAAGTCAGTCAACTGGACACCACATGTTGATCACCAATCTATCTCTGCAACAGTGCAGGATAATGAGGCATATTGTGCACAATCAGACGCCCCCTTTTCTTGTGATCTTGTCTTTGCCACCCCACGGTAGAAAATCCCCCCGCCCCCCTCACCAGATTCCCCCGAGTCATGTTGTAATATGTGAACATTTGGCTTCTCCATAGCTGCCTAAACCCAGCAGCACAAGCCAAGCTCAATCAGCCAAGCAGTTTCTGGGAGTCAATAACATCGCATCAGGTTCAGCTTCAACTGGGAATGGATGGAGAATAAATTGTATTTCCTTATACTGCACATATATTTTAAAATGAGCATTTGCATGTTGAATTTACTGCTGGGTTCTCTGCTTTCTTTGTGTCCCCTGGTCAGGTCTGGAAATCACCGCTGAGAGTTTCATGGATCGCTTAGACAATGGCTTCCTGTTGTGCCAGCTGGCTGAGACACTACAGGAGAAGTTCAGGCAAAATGATGGAGACATGTCTGCCTGTGGCAACAGCAAGGTATCAAGAAACCTGAGGATTACAGTAGTGTGGCATGATAGCGTTTACAGTGAAAACGCTAATCTGGGAGCCAACCCTTAAAGTGTTCAATGATTTGACAGAGAATCGATTCTAAAAACGTGTATGATCATTTTGACTGACAATCGCTGTGGTCCCAACTATATGAGCAATCCTCCTGCATGATTAAAAAAAGTGTGAAATCCAGACATACTAAGTAGTATTACATTTAATATCAGTTTTCTGCATTGCCACATAAATTATCCTTTCAAATCCTGTTATTTCTGCAAAAGTAATTGTGACCAAACTGCTTAAAGACAACAGTGTTGAAGTTGTATTGACTGTTCCTGAGACAGGAAACAGCTGGTATCAGGTGTCCATCAATTAGATCAATAAAAGCAACACTAATAGAGTCCCTCCCATCTCAAAGAAATATTGACATCATAACCTTTGAAAGGTAACACAGAGAGACCCTCTAGAATTATATTTGATATCCAACCCGTCCACAGATCTTATAATTGTTCTCTCGGCTCAGCAGCACCCATAAATCCCAACTTCGCAAGGAGCTCCATAATTTCATAAAAGAGGTGCACAAAGGGTGGGATGGGGGATGGGGGCCTGCAGCCTTCAGCAGGGCAGAAAAGGGAAAAAAAGAAGGCTGGCAAGGACACATTAACTGATGGGGCCCCACATCCCCTGTGAGAATTGGCAGAACTACGTTAAATGTTCATTTCTTGTGAGCCTTGAGTGAGGCTTTAATGAATTTTAAAAGATTAAAGGGTACCTTGCAAGTCGTAATCGTATATATTTTACTGGCTCACTGCTCCAGAAAACAAACCCATCGGGGTGCAGATCTTTACATTGGATCTGCTTCAGAGCTACTGCAAGAAGGTTTGATGTCTTTAGCTATATAAATGTTGTTCACGTATTTCCACTTGTGCCCAGTCTATAGACGTCCATAGAAACATCCTACAGTGTTGAGCAAAGTTGCATTGACTTTGTTAAAGTTTTCTTGATTAGCCTTCAAACATAAAATGTGGCTTCATAAGAATTAAAAAAAATTGTGCTGAATATGACAAAAGCCTTATCTTGGAGACATGAATACTATCTGTAGTTTCTAGTATCTGGTGCTCAGGGAAACACTGATTAGTTTCTGTTCAGAGGAAAGGAAGCTAAAGACTCCTGTGTTGGCTCTGGAGTGAGAATTGTTGATGTTTGCACTGAGGCATTACTGTGCTGATGACGTTGAGTCTCCTGACCTACAACTCAGGCTGAAAATCAAACAAAGTTGCACCATGATGTTTTATGTTATACCTACAGCTCACATTCTGCACTTTCAGCATTCGCCTGATACAATGTACGTCATCTTATGTCATTTCAAATTTACGACTCAAAGAATTGTTGCTTTGCTTATCATGGCACTTTGTAATAAGCTGAGATGTTTACTGTTTTTGACCACTTTAAAGAGAACGTCCATCTGCTTTCAAACTCGTTATGAGTTGTGGGTGGAGTGGGACTAAATGATTCCAGCAGAGGGAAACAATAAATCCCTTTGTAGATGCTGTCTCTTGCACATCTTCTGACGTGTTTACGTCAATGTAAACTGCATATGACTGAAGATGATATTTCTTTCTCGTCATATTAGTCATGTGCCAGATTCAATACCACCACCTTCTTAACTGTTAAAATTATTCCCACACTAACAAAATTTAAAGGAACATTCATTATTTTAGGAAATACGCTCATTTACTAACCACTCCCATATCTGTCCATTAAATGTAAAGCTACAGTCAGCACTAGTCAGATTAACTTAGCACAACAAATGGAAACAAGGAAACAGCTTGGTTAGGGTTAGTTATTTTATATGCACAAAACCGGGGTGTAAAAATTACATTTTAAAAGTTTGTTTTTTGTTGTCGACTATTTCTTGGTTGGGACTAGTTGCCAGACAACCAGCAGAGACCCCAGGAAGTTACTGCGTTGGAAATAGTTTGACACACAACCCCCCAAGCTTTAGAGGAAGTGAAGGGGATTTTTAAACCGTTGAACAGAACCAAGCTGTTACCCCCTGTTTCCAGTCTTTATGCTAAGCTAAAATAACTGTCTGCAGAGGTATAATCTCCACAAGTAACTCTAAACAAAAAAGCCAATAAGCGTAGGCATATTTCCCAAATTGTAGAACTATTCCTTTAAAGTGTGCACGTACAGCCATGAAGGTAGAGATACATAAATCATTTATAATCTTCCTGGTTGAAAGAAAATTACGTGATTTCTAACTCAAAGTACTCCCTTATCCGTATTATTTGTTCCTATTCCTCTTAACATAATGTCTTCCAAAAGTTCTGTGCCTTCTGTGCAATTATTAGATACGTAAAGGTGCAGATCAGCACCACAGAAACAACAACATGTCATTCTGATTGTTGGATCAAATGAAACTGGCAATGTGGTCGACATTATTTCTCCAGGAATGCAAAGTAATTCAACAACAGAAAGGATCCCAGAAAAAGTCAAAAGGAGAGCCTGGAAAGAAAAGAAAAATACCCACAAAAAGCCTGCATATTTCCAGCATGAGCTCATTGCACCTTTCTTATAGCACAGACGCATGCACATATCCTGCATAAAACCACAACGAGGCGCATAAATCTCCCCAAACAGACCGTGTGGGGGCTGAAACCTTTAAGCATGTCATTTGATCCCAAATCATAGAAGGCCTGGTAAAGTAGACCCATTTTCTAACCCACCATATAGCGTATTGATCGTTGTTGAAAAGCAGCAGATGGAGAAGAAATCAGTGTTGATAAAAAAGTGTGTGACTCTGTGTTTTGGTGGAAACTCTGGGGGTTTTTCTGGACGTCACCCCAGTGGATATTTGTTTTTGCTTTGTCAAACACAGAATAGAAGTTCATGTTCAGTTCTGTGTCTAAGCACTATTCATCAATTAAAATGTTCTTCATCCCAGGTTCATTTGTGTGTAGCGTACATGAAGACATCTACTAACCTCTCAATGTCTCTAGCAGAGTATTCCCTATCGGAGGATACCATGTCGGCAGAGCGCTCCCTCCGGTTCCTTTTTTGCCCGAGACAACACAGCTAACTTCCTGGCCTGGTGTCGTAAGGTTGGAGTTGGAGAAACATGTCTGTTTGAGTCAGAGGATTTAGGTGAGAGTACTCTTTTTCTGCTATCAACATCAGAACACTAAAGAATCTAAATGTTGGACAAACAGGGGAGTCTGTAAACAGGCTTTAGATACAACACAGCTGCAGCATTTGGCTGTCACTGGCACCACCAGGGCATTGGACTCATGTTTCTATCTCCTGTGAATGGCGTGATTGTGCAGGTATAGAGTATCACACAGGTTGGACTGCTTCTCTCTCCTCCCCCCTGAAGCTCAGAGGACTCACATCTCCAGGCTTCTCTTCAACTCCTTTGACATTCACACAAAGCTCACTAGGGCAGCAGTCTGCTGGGAGAAACTCTACCTGACGATGAGGACATGTGCATCTCAGATACAGTGCTCATGCAGAAAACGTCTGGAGTAAAACAAAGGCAGCACAGACAGAAGGGTGTGAGTTAGAGAGAAAGTAGGCCAACGCTATGCAAATGTTTTCCTCAGCCCACAGTGGGGACATTCTGCTCTCTTCCTCATTCACACACTCACTGTGTTATCTATATCCTTCTAATCTATTGCAAGGATTTTTTGCGCATTATGTCACTGGAATATGCTCGCAGTTAAGATATGCCTGGACTGAAATATTCTCCTTACAATTAGATATACAGTACCTTATGTGATCCTGCCAGTAACAGAAATACCGAGAATATTCGTACATTCCTGTAATTTCTGTCTAATGGCCGCTTGACCATCGCTAAGCATTTTCAACTATGCAAATCATTTCTGAAGGCCAAGTCACACACACTCATTTATCAACACTGCACCCTCACATGCACTTCACTGACTTCTTTCTTTTTCTTTCTTCTGTTATTTCTCTGGATGGATTTATCAGTTCAGCAGTAGATGAAACAACAACAGGTTTGCTATCATGCAGTGGATATTTTGTCTTTAATGCATGATGTGGTGTGTCACATGTATCACACATCTTGTCTCACTGTCTGGTCATATATTCGGAGAGGTTAGAATATATAATATAGAAAACCTCAAGTCTGAACAATATACTCATTTGGGACAATCCGGGTTGGAGACGAGAGGAACATTTGATTGCATGAAGTTCACGAGTTCATTTTTATGTTCATCTTACCATCACACAGCCACTCATTCTCACTCAGTGCCCTTTTCCAGATACGATATAATGTCTATATACTGAATGCTAAAGCTTAATCTCTTCCTGTAGTTCTTCATAAGCAGCCGCGAGAAGTCTGCCTCTGTCTTTTAGAGTTGGGGCGGATAGCTTCACGGTATGGAATTGCTTTTCCTGTAATCTGTATATTTTAGTTCACACATGACTATTTTTCAATATGCTTCTTCAGATTTATGGGATGACACTACTCTTTGTTTCCTTGGTCTAGATACAACGTGGAGCCTCCTGGCCTCATACAACTGGAGAAAGAGATTGAACAAGAAGAAAAATCACCTCCACCACCTCCATCACCTGTATCCCCAGCTCAGCCCCTTCCTCCATCTCCATCTCCATCTTTATCTCCCTCCCCGTCTCCTTCCCCATCTCCGACTCCTACCAAAGTCAGTTCCGGCAAGAAAAGTACAGGGAAGCTGTTGGACGATACTGTAAGTTAGCAGTAATTAACCCCTGCTTCTACTTTTCATTAGCAGGAGGGAAATATCTTTAATATATTTGTGTGTTTTACAGGTAAGAGATATCGCTGATGATCCCCCCTGCAGATGTCTGAACAAATTCTGCGTAGAGAGACACTCACAGGGTCGATACCGTGTTGGAGAGAAGATGCTTTTTATCCGGGTACATTTTTTCATAATAAGGAGATGTATGCAGCATCTGGTGTTAGAAAATGTTTAATTTTCCAACAGTGATGGAAAAAGTATCCAAATCCTTAGTTAAACGTAAGAATAGCACATGGGAAGTTAAGATTAAAAGTCTTGGTTTCATATTATTAGTGTCTTATTTGCTTAAGTTCAATTTTGAGGTACTTATACAGACTTGAGTACCTCAAATTTGTGCTTCTTCTACTTCACTGTTTTAGAGGCTAAATTCAGTTAATTCATCATTTAGCCGATTAATCTATCCAAGAGCATTCAAATAAATTCAAATGAGCTTCACTTTGACCAGCAGCAACATGAAATGCTGTATACGTCATTAAGTAACAAAACACTGACAGGGATCTGCCGAATGAGTACTTTTACATACAGAACTATGTCATGTGTCCGGCTTCATACATTTTGCTAATAATCCTACTTTCACTTGGGTAAAATTTTAATTAATACTTCTTCCTGCTTCCTACTGTGCTTCATATAGTGTTTGTTAGTTATATTATTAGAAGTATGAAAAATCTGTTCTGCAAAGAAATGAGTTACTGCAAATGCTGGATAAACGTAGTTGAGTAAAAGGTACAATATTGCTTTCTGTGCTGGATAAATGGTTTATTAGTCTGTGTTTTATTGGGTTGATATATATTTTAGAATGTAACACAAGGACAGAGAAAAACTCAAAAACTAACACAAGTTCACATTTGTGATCATCAAATTTCTATTAATTTTTCCAATCAGTTTGGGGTGGATAACAATAAGGTCTCCCCCTGCAGTGCAAACCTCTCTCTATGCACACAGCATATGGCAGAGTGTTGATACTAGGGACTGGCTTTGGGATGAAAGTAAACCATTGTGTCTGGAGAGCCCGCCTTTGCTGTGAGGTCTCATTTACTGGTAGTGGTATTCCGACAATGTCCGTCTTAGCCAAACATAATGTGGCTCACTGGCTATTAAGGGAAAATAACACCCACACATTTCCATATGATCTGAAGTTAATGCTTGGAAAATATTTGACTCAGCTTTATCGCCCGTTAATTGTGTCTTATAATCACACTGAATCTATCAGACCAGGAAACGTTACTGGATTCTCTCTGAGTGGAGGGATAAAGGATACTGGAGGATGATAAATGGAGGCTAACACACATTAGAGAAGTAGCATTGGTCCCCTTGGGATTCTGGTTACTTGGCAACCTACAACCAGAATTCACACCTCTAAGAATGTGAGTCATGCCGACGGTATGTTTCAGATGCGGAGACGTACAAAAGAGAGTTTACTCTTGGATGTCCTCTGCTGTCAGCCCGTTATACTGCAACCACTAATGTCAAATATCAAACAAGTCTCAGTCATTGTAGGGTGTGGATGAACAAAGCTGTTTTTAAATATTAGTGAGGACCATAAGAATTTCCTGCTACAATAACATGAGGGAATCTGAATATTTATCATCATTTGATGCTTTTTTGATTTTTGCTTTTCAGTCTTCTTTGTGTTGCTGAGCAACCAAGGACAGATGGTGAGAAGCTCACAGTGTTGGTCTAATGCAGGATGCTGTACAGTATTTAATCTGGACCACCACACGTGTCTGTTCAAGTCAATCTTACTCATTTAGACCAAAACCACAAAACACAAATTTGCATCGAAGGGCCGTCTCTCTTCCTCGTGAATATAATTTAGTTCTCCCTTTATTTATTTCTTTACACACAGTACTTACTTCTATTTTATTGCCTATTTTATTGTTTTATTCTATTAACTAATTTAAAATATTTGAATATTTGTTTATATATGTTCTGTGTGGGTAGGGTGGAGGGGGACCACAACTGCAATTCATTGTACAATCCTGCATTGTATGTTGAACAATAGAGCAAAACCTTGAGCTGAACCTTGAGCCTTTTCAATTGGTATTGCATACCACTCTCTCTCTCTGTGCAGACCCTTGATATCCCCCCCAACAAACCTTTAATTGGGAAAAACCATAAAAAGCAAAAGAGGAGGTATCCTTCTTCCAGGACGGACAGGCATGCACTAAATGTGCACAGGGTTGTCAGAATTAACAAAACAAAAATGACACATGCTTATGATCATGCGTTATCGTGTGTACTCACAGTTACTGTATGTGAGATACATTGTTTGATCAGACCGAAGCAAGTGTGAAGCCTCTATTCCTTTGTCTCTCAGCCAGCATTCTTCACAGTCAAAATGTTTTAATTAAAATTCCTCAAATGGTTTTACCCTGCAGCAGCTGCTTCCACTGAAAAGGCATGAGGACCGTAAGACCAAGTCACTTTCTGTAGGCAGTGAGAACAACAGTGGCATGCAGCCCATATAAGAGTGTACACCACAATTATCTGTCCATGCCTGAGAGACTGACCTTCTCAGCTCCTGGAATAAATGAGGTGGTTGTAGGCTCAACAAGGGGGCAGAGTAACATCACAGTGTTTGTGAGAAGTGCTGTCCAAGCTCTGCCCCGGGCCTCTGTCCTTCTCTGGGCTGCAGAGGGAATGGGCTTGTCCCAAAGCAGCGTGATTGAAACCCCTCTGCATCACACAGGTCCATTAAAATCCACAGTCACAAAGCCTGAAGGCCTGGTGCTGATGATTGGAGGCACTGCCCCACCGGTGCCCTCTTGATTGATTCTTTTAAGAGGCTTATAAATGTTGCATGTTATGCTGCCTAGAGGGCAGAAAGCCTCATATCTGGCCAGACCGAGGGGACAATCTCATGAGGTAGTTTACCCTTTTTATCAAACAACTTAGTTTGGCATTTGTCTGAATGATTCTCCTGCTGTTTGTGTTTTTGAAGACAAACATCCAACAGCATCCTAATAGTCTTGATAGTAAGCTGTTCTGTACTATTTCATCTTTCATCGGTAAACGAGCTTGTTTTACTAGAGGTGTAATGTCGTGTTAATGGGGTATAGGAGTGATAAGGCTCTATAGTGAGGCTGACACGTTTTATGAGCACAGCCTCTGGGGAATGTGAGTGTCTGAGCATCCAATACATCAAAGCCTTTCATCTTCTTCTCTCTATTGTAATGGTCGATGTTGCCATGGTACCCAACCTTGAGAATGTGTGGCAGGTGGCATCATTTTGAAGCAAATGTTGTAGACTGAGCGATTAAAAAACACACTCCATCTAATGTCTTGGTTAAGCAGAGTGTATACTGTCATTTTTAGGTTTTGTGCTTATCAGTGATGAATTAGCCATTGTGTAAATATTGTTTAGCCATGCTAACGGCCTGACTGTAAGGATGGAATGTCAGTCCTCCATTTTGATCAAGACTAAAATATCTCAACTATTACTGGACTGCTATGAAATTTAGTTCGGATATTCATGGTCCCCAGAGGATGAACCATGCTGACTTTGGTGATCCTCTGACAACTATATTAGGTGTGGGTATTCATGTTCCCCACAGGGTGAATCCTAACGACCCTTGTGACGCCTGACTCCTCTAGCGCCATCAGCAGGTCAACGTTTTCACAGTGAAATATCTCAACATCTGCTCGATGGATTGGCAAAACTTTATACAGATGTTCATGGTTCCTAATGACTAGATTCCCTGCCTTTGGGTGTATTTCTGGTTTTGAGTGAAGTATAACTACTGGGTGAACATGACATTTGTTCCGAAAGATGAATTGTAATGACTTTGGTGTATTCCTGCCTTTAATCTAGCGCGATTATCAGCACACACAAAAAAAGAAAAGAAAGAAAGAAAAACAATTCTTACCTGCACAACTAATGACATTCCCATCAACCACAACTGTGTTTACTGTTCGTTAGCAAACATTAACAAAAGATAGTAAACTTGGTAAACACGATATCTGCTTAGCATTAACTTGTTAGCATTTTTATTGTGAGCATGTGAGCATGCTGACATTCGCATTTAGCTTAAAACTTTGCTAGCAGTCTCACAGAGCCACTCTTAGTCTTCTTTATCATGTATCTCCATAAATCAAACAGTGATGAATCAATCATTCTGTTCTGTCTCAACATGGCATTAGGCAGGTAAGAGATGGAGAGAGCTTCCCTCCAGGGACATCAACCAGTCTGAGGCCCCCCAGCATCAATCAACAACCTCTGACATCAAAGCCAAGCTTAACTGTTCGTTCAACTTCTGAACCGAAGCCTCAATCAGTGAAATGACATTAGTCCTATTGAAGGAAGGGCTCAGCAACCCGTTTTAAGCTCTCCTTTGACACAGTGACATCAGAAGTGACACTATAATGCTATTTATTTCTCTCTGCAGATGCTGCACAACAAGCATGTGATGGTGCGTGTTGGCGGAGGCTGGGAGACGTTTGAGAGCTACCTGCTGAAACACGACCCGTGTCGCATGCTCCAAGTCTCCCGGGTGGAGGGCAAGATGTCCCCCATCAGCTGCAAGTCCCCCAACATCAAGGACCTCGCCCCTGACAGCTACCTGGTGGTGGCAGCCCACTACCGCAGCAAAAAGTGAGGACATGAGACTGAAACGTGCCATTCATAACAGGATGGCTTGTTGCCATTGTTTACTCCCTAATGAACGTGCGTATATAACATATCCCTGTTCTGTAAGAAGCTATAGTCTTCTTTGGCAACCTGGCAGGTAGACATTTTCCACAAAGGCAATTCCCCCTCTTTTCTTAATTTGCCATTTGGCTATTTGTGATATTGTTAACCTGCCTTACATCGAATACACGGGTGGCTTTAGTGGGCAGCAAACTCAAGTTGCAAATTGAACTTTAACTATGACATTAGAAGAATAAGTGGAAACTTCACTGTCCAAAGAAATGTAATTTACCAAATCTTTACATGATTCACTGCATAATTTGCTTGTAAAAACTGCCAAATCTCCCCTAGAAACCAAACATTGGGCTTTTTTTTAATTATTAGACTAAGAAATGAAAGCAATGCTTAGACTGTTAACATGTTTAATACCTATTCTATGAAATGCATTTTTATACTATAATCATTTTTTTAAATTCTTCTATCGTTATTAGGATAGCTGCTGTGTTATATAATTTCTAATGTAAGAATATGGACAATCACCTGTTCAAGACGCAGTATGTAGTTAAACAGAACCTCATTGATTTATGATTAATCAGTAGATTATGATTTGATGTTCTGCAATTCTTAAATTTGTTGCATGTTACTCATTTCTAGTTAGTGCAATAATTAAAACTTGATAATCTCTGTTTAGCTTTTTTTTTACAATTAATAGATAAACTATATTATCGTTCCATATATTACTTTGTGCAACTTTTTCCCTGGAAAATGAATAAGTAGATTTGACATGAGATCATGAGCTATGCAAACAGACTTGTATGTGAATATAATTGGTCCAATTTATGTTTTAGATGTACATTTTTAATAAATTCTCAAAACTTTAATCTTCACAATTTGAAATATATACTTTGTCTGTAAAGCTTTTGGAATTTAAACATTTTAAATATTTGTAAGACGACATAATATTGGTACATGTTCAACGGATCAACTGTCGACTTAAGTCAACAACTAAGTGTACATTTTTTAGCAAGTATATATCTCAACCATAGTATGCTGCAATTATATCACTGATAATTTCAACCAAATCTTACCAGAACTGAAATGTAATGAATTCCACAAGAGTAGCAGAAATGTGATTTATTGTAGCAAATAACTTCGGTTACATTTCCTGTTCTACAAAATGGCGAGAGCACCGGAAGCATTTTAGGATCAAGTGAAGGCTGTAAGAAATGCACTCAGTTAGGCAAGCCAACGTAAATGCTTCACTACGTACTGTACACACTTCACTTGTTCTTTTCCTTCAGTTTCTTTCTGTTTCCATTTTAGGTGACATGAATCTCTCCCAACTTAAGAGTGGGAGCGAGCATGTCTGCTGTTCTCCAAATGTAGACAAACTGTGTGCAAATAGATGTTTAACGAAAGCTTCCGTTTGCAATATGGCAATTCACAAACACATTTCAATTAAATTCAATTAAGCAGGCATCACATCAATGTTCTGCAAATATTAAAATCCAATGCAACAAACTCAAATTGTGCAGAGAAAAACAAAGAGGGCTCTATTAAAGAAGTGAAGGCAAAGACCAGTGCACAGTGCAATAGGACCAGTGCACAGTGCGATAGGACCAGTGCACAGTGCGATAGGACCAGTGCACAGTGCGATAGGACCAGTGCACAGTGCGATAGGACCAGTGCACAGTGCAATAGGACCAGTGCACAGTGCAATAGGACCAGTGCACAGTGCAATAGGACCAGTGCACCTCCTTTTCATTTTGACTTGTTGGAAAATGCCTTAGTGTTGTTTTATATTATTCTGCAGTATTCTATTGCTGCTGCATATTTTGTCAAGTATGTAGTTTGTACTTCGTGACTGAATCACCAAATGAATGATTAAATGGCGTTGCACCGAGTACAAACATATTCTCATCACAATATACAACAAGGACACATCGGGGAGAGGCAAAGTGCATTACAAGTTCAATAAATACCTACAAGTTATAGCACTCTCTGCACAAGTCTTTGTGTTGCCAACAAATAGAGCCCGCAATAAAATAAAAGTGAAATGAGTGTTACTGTGTTCTAATCATAAGCACACTTACATGTTTTGTAAACAAACTGTGTTTCACTTGTGAAATGTGTCATTTGCATAACTGACTTCTGGAGAAGTCATACAAAAGGTAATGTGGCCAACCAAGGTGAATTTACAAATCCTCGACAATGAAAACCAAAAGCAGTGTAGTGAGAAATCTGAAAAGTGTTGGAGGACAGCTGTCACCAGATAAGAATAATCATATTCTTTGGTGTCATCTCGTGTTGTCTAATCAATGGTCAAATAGAACTAGTACAGTAGGACCTGTACTTACTGACACATGTTCCGTGTCCTCCCTGACTCGTCTAAAAGGTCCAAACGACTTGTATAACTTGGCAACAAGGGGGAAAGTCCTGCTGTTCTTTCAGTAATCCCTTCAGATAGTTTTGCATAAAGCAAGAAAACTGTAGTCGTTTGTCTCATAACATCATAAATTAGGCAAAAAAACACAATTAGAAAACTGGATAGCAGTTCAAACATCTTTCAAGTCATCTTGCCGCAATACTTCATGTTGAGTCAAGACTGGAGCTGTTACCATCTTCATTTTCAGCCCACCTGCCACTAGAAAACAAAGAGGGGAAAATCATCAGAACAAGTCTTAAACTCAGCCAAATATTACAAAACAGACTCAAACTTCTAACACCGTCACATATATTTGTACCCGACGATTCATTGTCGCTTAACTGTATGTTGCATAACAGCTCAAAATTCACCAGAAAAACAACAACAACAAAAAAAAGAGTGCTTAAAGATATGATTAAACCTCATGAATGACATTCAGGACCATCCTTCAAGACACAAAACTAACCCTCAACCCGCCGCCACCACCACCAGACACCGAGGTGGTCATCTCCTGTTTTTCAATCTCTTCCTGTTTTTTCTTTTTCCTCTCGACAGCGTCTGGATTTTTAACACCCCTGTATGTTGTCTGAAAAAGAGAGGAATATATCAAGCATCAACGGACACTGGCTTCGTTAACAAAGTGTTTATATACAGGCAATAGTTTCATTAAAAAGTGTTTTTAGTCGTGTTTATATAAAAGGTCATATCTTCATTAAAGCTGTGTTTTTATCTTGTTGATATGTTAAAAATACAAACAGTCTTAAAAACATGCATGTTTTTGAAAAGCATTTTTAATCAAACATTTTATCACAACCTTTTTTAAAAAGCACACGTTCAATCACAAGTAGCAAAGGGGCATTCAGCTGAGCGATGGAGCAGCTAACTGAAACGTGGCTGTGGGTTAGGGCTCAGTGCTTTAAAGTGTGAAATCCTCGGTGTGTCAAAAGATTTAAAGGTGAAAATAGTGACTTATAGCAGAAACATGTGGAAGGTGATCAGCCAATCCAAAAGATGCATCTGGCCGAGAAAAGTTCTCATTCTGGTCCATGTCGTCTTACCTTGATACAACTTTAGCATGGCTCTTACGGGTTTGCAAGTGGCTTTTCTGTATCATAAAAACACCACTCACCACACTGTCATGTGCATCTACCATTCTAATGGGGTGTAAATGTGAAATCGAAGGCTACAAAGTTATTATACACTACCAGATTGTTAGGTGCATCAAGCTCAAACCAATGCAGCCTGAACAACCCTAAAATAAAGCCTGTGTTTGTTCAGTTTTTTTATTACACTGTTTTAGGGAACTGTTGACTTTTTTTTGTATATTTTGGAGGGTGTGGTGTGCTTGGCTGTTCAATTGTAAAGTGTTGAACTGAGAAATGTTCATACAATTCAACGGAATTACAGCTTACCCCACTATCATAATGATATGATTTATAGCAAATGTATTGTATTAGAGTCACGTTTAGCTTGATATAACTAATAATATGACAACGAAGTGTATTAAAACCCTGTCTTGGTGGTGTAGACAAACAGACAAACACTTGTAAGTTAACCCACCTCTTTTTGTCTCTTCTCAGCGGCCTCAGCTAACTGTCGTCTTCTTATCTCCTGTGAAAACAAAAACAAATGGGTAACGTGTAAGCTACAACTTTGAGTAGTCAGTAGACCTTAGTATATAGCATAATATAGCATATAGTATATAGCTAGCTAGCTAACGCAGGCTAACTCAGCTGGGCCTCGTGCATACTTGACATGCCAGTGTTTACAAAAGGCTAAACACGGTCGACGCCTCCTGAACATTACCACAGGGCCTTAACGAAGCGTTAAATTCAATTAATTTGCGTCACATGTCACGTTACAGGTGTGGCATTCTGTTGACACAGTTGGAAATACAAGTTTTAGTAAATGAACGCTAACTTACTGGATCTGGAGTGACGACAACGTCGTCCGCTGCTCCACCAAGGCACGGTAAGCACATCCCCATCCTGGAGTTGTTATTCCAGGCAGTAAAAAAGGCAACGTAGAAAAAGAGTTATGACTGTGTCGGTTTAGCTTAAGCAGCTAACGCTACCTGACTTGCTGGTGAGCCAGTTTCAGATTGCTGGGCTGGTTGTCAAGGCAACTGAGGCAAAAGCGTCTACTCCAAGCGGCAGTTGTTGGGTCGTCCGGCATAATAACGTTACCGTTAGCTAGCGGCTTCTATTAGCTCCGGTAACGTTAGCATGCTAGCATAAACTACCACTGCAAGCCCTGTTACTTCTCCAAGCCACCTAATTAATTATGTCTCCTCACACCTCTTGTTTAATCGCATCGGCAATTGGAAAATATCTTGTTTGTCATATGATATCATATGTAAGTCAGACGTCAAAGTCAAATATTTATCCCTGTGAATGTTTTGGTCTCAGTTCAGCTGGCTGACGAATCTGCAACAAGGGTGTGTTCAAGAACTTCACTCGCACACAGTTTTCTGCTAACGTGCTATGAACACACAAAGACAGCTAACCTATCGTTTACTTTCATGTCACGCATTAAAACAACGAGACTTCTACTGTGTTTAATACTTAATGCATCGTAATCAGTTGTGCAGTCGTCATATTTACAAAACGAATTAGTAAATAAGTAATAAGTAATAAATGTGTTCATTGTAGGATTTTGAACGTAGCTCAGTGTGATCAGTGACGCCCAAAGCTGGTCCTCTGTTAGCTGGTCCAACAGCACCACCTGGTGGCGAAGGACAAATCAAACGTGATAATGACAATATAATCCATTACTACTACATTCTGATGTTTGGTTTGTAATTTACTCACGATTAGCACAATAAATGCAGAGGTTATCAGAATATAGCCGGTTAGAGACATTTCCTGGTTTCCCATAAATGCTATACTAGGCTAAATCCAAAGTAAGGAGAGAAATGTGAATATGGGACTTCGACCCGACAACATTAGCTACAATACAAAAACAACTGATTCTGAAGTGCAGGCTAATTAAACTTCATGGTAGCAGATTTTTGCCAACGTAAGCCATTAAATTCAAAGAAAACCTGGCTCTCCGCTCTCCTGGTTATGTTCTCAATCACTTATACTAATGGGAGCTCCATGTGATGAATCAGCAGTTCCGTCTCTACTCTACAATCAATAACCCTGAGAGTTTTAATGTTGTACCCCGCTCAACCCGTCAACATGTTAAACTCCACCCATCCATCTTCGCTGCTGCGCCCGGGCTACTTCACAGCTCTAAGTGCTGCACTGTGGCAATGGCAGGTTCATGAGGTTGCACAGCTTTTTCAGGCTACAAGTTGTCATTCAGAAACTTTCTGATGAGGGACTTGCACTGAAGGCGCACGTACATGCAATGGAAGTCAAGGTGTCACCGGCTCTTGGCAGCTCCTCAGGTAGGTTTGACTCACTTCTGAAGGAGACTCATTGAGTTGTAGTTAACAAAGGAATGACAGTAAGACTGCAGCTAGCTATAAAACTAAAATTAACAAATAACTTAATACAGAATTTGATTTGTTATTAGGGTGTACTTTTTTCTTACTACAATTTTTGTTTAATGGTTTTTGATCAAGTGTGTATGCAGGCAACTTATTCAAAAGACAACAGAGATAGAAAGAGTACAGTCTTGTTCAGCAGTTGACCATTATATTTACAGGCTATTCATTATACTGTAAAATCTACATGTGTTAGTGATGAGTGCAGAATAATTCGCTACATCGACTTGATGAGAACTGATCATTTAGGTTATATTTATTTATGAAGTGTCAATGTCCATAAATGAGGAATAGATTAATTGGTCATAATTAAATTGCACTTTGTGTCTTTTGGGTGTGTGCTTTTTATTTTATCATCGACAGGTCAGGAACGCACATTGTATTCTTGTGCTGAAACATCTGTGGTCCGCCACAGACTGAAGGAATAAGACTGTTGTCAAGGGAAATCCAGCGTCATTCAGTCTAATGAGCTTTCTAATGCATGGATGCTGTGGCTTTTATTAACTGTTCTAAATCATCACTGCCCCAGGCAAAGATGAAAATGGCAAAACTGTGGTAATGTCCGGATAGCTAATGGGAAAGTGTTTTCATCTGTGTGAGTCATGTGGATACTGTTCAGTGGTGTGCAGACTCTGAGAGGGCATGGGAGCACATTGTGACGTGGTGGCTCTGCCAGAAGCTGCATGGTCAAGTGTTTACCATAGTATAAATCATCAGGTATTTGAAACTGGTTCAGATCCTTTAGTTTGTGCCTCCTTACCCCATGTTTTTGGGTCAGTAGTGACTAATGTAAACAAAGCAGAGATGTCAAATAGAGTCTTAAACCGAGTGCTTTCCCTTTGGACTAATGGAAGAGTTGTGTGGAACTCAGTGGCGGGCCGTGCATTTTATAGCTGGGCCTTCGGTGCTGTCCTACTGAGCTACGGCTATTTGTTTCTATAACTGCGCTCACGTAACAGACAACGGGATGTGTGACCTTTTGAACCCGGAACAATAACAACTGCGTTCTGCGTTCGCCGGCCGGCGTTTGCTATGGCGTCCTCAGGTTAGCATAGCATAGCATAGCATAGCATAGCATAGATAAATAGGGGCTGAATCTGATTGGATAAAAGCTCTCCTTAAAACAAGCTGTGCTGGAAGCAGAGCAACAGAGGAAGACAGGAGCTGTGCAATGGGGAAATAAGCTAATAAGAAAAACAATTGTAATACATGTCGTGTATTTGTGAAACATGATTAAATTATAAAATAGCTATAACTTTGTGATTCTGTTTAGGCCAGCGGAGAAGGCTTAGCTGGCCCTGACGGCCCACCGCTGGTGGAACTCTCTGGGAAGAAAATGGTGAAAATCCTAGTTTTAAAAACGTATTTGTCGTGAGCTTTGTTTAATGGTATTTCTTCTTACAATTTATTAATCTAAATTAACAACTGAAAAGAAGTTGTGTATAACATTAGAGACTTCTTTTAGAAAAGTAATATTCACTTTCTAGCTGCAGAGGATTCAGTCTAAACACTTTTAGTAAGTAGCTACCACAAGTTTCTCTTTTCTGTCCGTGGCTGTAATGTTTGCTAAACATTTTGTTCACCTGAAAGAACATTTCATTCTTCACACATTGAATTAGAGAAGGAGACAGGTGTGTTTTGATTTTATGGAGACATTTATGTGGCCTTAAGTGATCGGTGCTGACTAACATAAGCTGTTTAAGTGATGTAAGGCACACAGACCAGGTTGGAGTAATGGAAATACTGCAGTAAAAATGCCCTCCAGACTGGCTATACACCCCCTTTAGCTTATATGTAATAAGGTGATAAACACTGATGCCCTTTTTATTCAATTAACAAGTTGCTGGAGAAGATGTCCAGCAAGATGCACTCAAACTAAATACATTTAGTTTCCATATTTCCATATTGTAAAGTGTTTGTGAACACACATTGATTATATTCTTCCATCTCCTATGGTTATTAATCAGTATTTCTATATGCTCTGATATAGATTATACATTGTTAATGCAGTCACACTTTCCTCAACATCTCATCATACATCCAAGATTATTTGAGAGTGGAAGTAAGTGAACCATGGCTTTGAAATGTGTGTGTTTGAATATATAATTGATGTGTCAGGAAGTTCAAGCAGGAAGTCCCTGCTCATCAATCGATCTACCTAGTGCAGGGGTGTCAAACTCATTTTCACTCCGGGCCACATCAGCGTCATGGTTTCCCTCAAAGGGCCGGTTGTAACTGTAAGACTGTATAACTGTATAACTACTCCTAACATATTGTTAAATAACTGTCTCTGCTTTTGATTATTGTTTATTCAAGTGTAAAAATATTGTACATGCAGTTATATAAATGTAAAATGATATTTATGCACATTTCTGTTATTATAACATAAATCATTTTAATTTAGGGTTAAGAAACCCACATTACTCTATCAAAGATCAAACTATTAAAGAAAATAACAAAGACAAATATCATCAAACGTAAGTTATTACATTAACTTTGTTCAAAGCTATTTTTGTCACCTCTCTGCATCACTAATGTCCCTCCCTGCCGTCGTCCCGTGCATGGCAGCTACATCCAAGAGCTCCTCACTGACAGTCAAGTCTGCCTTGAGCCTCTTACAAACATTGATAGATGATGTATCAATCACTTGTTGGAAAACCGCTTTACGGGCTGTTTCCTCTCCTGTCCACCTGTTGCGATAGTTTTAATGTCGGTACACAGACAACATGCTATCTCATAATTTCAACTTTCTATCTCATAATTTCAACTATGGGGATATTATTATTTTCAAGTCTAAAAGTTTTTTTGCTGGTGGATTCGCGGGCCACATAAAATGACGTGGCGGCCCGCGGGCCTTGAGTTTGACACGTGTGACCTAGTGTCTCCGTAATTGTGAAGTCCTCTGGACAGTATATTACTGCACTCAGACTACACGTCTGTAATGGACTAAACACTTCTAGGGAAAGTTGTTTTTTTCTGACCAGCTGTTCAGAGCTCTTGTAACCTAAACACAGAAGTTTCGATGTCACTATTGACGTGTAATAATCGCTGTTAATGGTCTTTTCAACTGTTACATGCTCCATGCTTGTGTTACACAGTCCTCTGGTAGTATGTCACAAAGTAAACTGTACACATTGGAAATCAAGCATTTCAATAATTTTCCATTACTGTACAGATTGTTTTTTTTTATGGGCTCCATTGAGAAGTGATGCTGAAGAGAGATGTTGCTGTTGAACCTGTGGAATAATAATCCTTTCTGAGATGTAAAGTACTTCTGAATGTTGGTGAGTCATGTTGTTTGGACTCTGTGTGCAGCCCACGGCCCTTCCTCTTCGTCTTAATGGCACCTCATGCATACAGTGAGGGAGGGAGCACAGACTGACTGTAGATGTTATTTTTCCATTGTAAACAAATTTAAAATGCATTATTGTATGCTAACTTGGTTAACCCTAGGCAGTGACCTATTTAAGATGCACAATGGTAGCCTCCACATTATATAATAATGCAATTACTGCGAAACAATGGCTCAATGCTTTATGCAAAAAGAGTAAATATGAATCTATAATGTGCATTTAGCCATTCTTTTCTTATTGTGCTGATTATTTCCCTTCTAAACATCCACATTGTTAGAGAAGCATTTCCAGCTGTGAAGGTTGACAGTTTGCCGTGTTTGAAAATGAGATAAAATGCACTGTATTTATTCATATCTTTTCGCCGTTTTACTTCGGCTAAAAAAAATAAGAGGAAAAAAAATCAGTCGACTTTTTTTGCTCTAATTTTCTGAAGCTGGAAAATAAACTTCATGTTAATAAAACTGCAGTTTAGATAATAGTTTACTCCTGAAATCCTTAAAAGGTATCCCTCAACAGTTTAATTGATTACGTTCATGTGTCTGGTTAGTCTGTACTTATCTCATCACACATTTCTGTCAGTTTAACTGTTAACTGGTTTTTATAAAAACAAAATCTAACCTGATCAGATGAGTTGCACGGTTGGCTAAAGCCAGAGGCCTTATTGTTCCCCATTAGTGTCAAGTGTCAGACGGTGAAAAGAGAATTTTCAAGATGTGTTAAAAATGTATGAGTGCAGTAACACGAGAGGGCTCACGGTGTGAGTTTATAACGGGATGCCCTTCAAGATAACAGCAACAATAAAGATACTTTAATGATATGAGCACTGTCGACTCACACTTTGATCACATTGTGTGTGTGCGTGTGTGTGTGTGTGTGTTTTGCAGGACCATGTCACCAGGACAGCTGTATATTCCTGCCTCTGCTGGAGAGGCATGTTCCTGTCAATCCCACCACCATCAGCCACTCGGTGTCCTGGAGCTCCTCGCTGGCCAACAGCTTCCCCTCTGGAGACACCGAGACGGACAGCGACCAACTCTCCGGTGAGTTTGCCAGCTGCACTGCATTAAGGCTTTTAAATGCATTACATCCATCTGAGATCTGCCCACACTTGTTACGGATATTTCTGCACACCTAATGTGTATATAAAGTTTGAGGGTAACACTGAGTATTTACACTGATTCCTTAATGAATATGGACCATATTGAATTTAGGATCAATCCATTAGTCAATTAGTTAAATTAAATTGGCAAACATTTTGGCCATCAATTCATCATTAAGGCCATTTATCGAGCAAAAACATCAAATGTTCTCCGGCCCCAGTTCTCAAATGTGAGGATCCGCTGCTTGTCTTTCTTTTAAATTCAATTTCTTCGAGTTTTAGTAATTTGAAGATTTGAACTTTGATTATGGGAAAATGTTATTTGCATTTTTTTTTTTAACCATTTTCAGTTTTCTGACTAATTTTTAATTGATTTTCTAAAATAAATAATTGACGGAATAATTTATAAAGGTACAGCTTTTATTGTTTCTGAATGTGATTAAATTTCTCCCTTCACATGACCTCTTCTCTGACTGAAATATTTTATTTCTAATTTTACTTTTATTTTTTGAGGTAGCCTATTACCATTATGATCAAACTGCACTCATTTAGCAGTTGTATTCTCATTGTTGACAGACAAAAAAGCTGAAAACTAAGGTAGCTTCCTCAAATTGTTGCAGCACAGATTTAGGAGATTTGACATGTTTTGACTGTTGACAATTATTGTTTCGCTTTTGATGCAAAGATGTCGTGAAAGCCATTTTGTTTGGAGGCTGGAAGACCTGAATCTTGTCAAAAGTAGTTCCTGATTTTATATTTGCATGCATTGGTTGAGGTGAATAATGCACAAACAGTATGTGGTTCTTGGAGCAGAGTGCTCACTACTCAGTCAATCATGTTTTTACCCACAAGGTGGCAGTATTTCATCTATCTAGAAACCTTGGTTTCTCTGCAGAGCTGTCATCTGACCTACATCTTTAAACTAACAGGCAGGAATAGAGGAGATCAAATTTAAATGGACCGACCTTATAAGAGCTGCTTACTTATTTATTTATCGGCCCAATGGAACAAGTGCATTTGCCTCGCAGTTCAATGACATGTTATGGGGGTTGGCACGCACAGCCCTGCCACCAGCCCTCGATAAACATCAGAGCAGTGGGAGGAGAGGCGTGCTGAGCGGCAAGAAAGCAGATGGTATTTGCATCTATGACAGATGCCAGACTACTCCCCAGAATACCAGCGCAAACAGAGATTGTTACACAAAAGTAGGACAACAGACCAAACTGCAACCTGTGTTATTGTGACCTTTTGAAGACTGACTAGATCACTGCGGTCGCTTCGGTGTCTGCTCACATGGCAACAACACGAGCAGCACAGGGAATCCCTCTCGTGGGTTTCAGAGCACGGATGGAGGTCTGCTGGTCTGTAACTCTGTGTGGTTGACATTGAGATGAGAGCGTGACCTTGCAGATAAACCACGATAAGATCTGTGTTTGGTTAATACTGTGCAATTGAAGACCCAAGGCAAAGTGATAAGAAGACTATATTGTATGAGGGCTTCCTATTGGTGCAGGTTTACCACATAAACCTACTGTGTGATTAATAATATCATGCTTCCTGTTCAATTTTTTTCTCCATATTGCATATAATAGTTAGAAGCTGTCAAAAACAACAGTAAAATTATGCAGGTGATGACAGGTGCACATCAGGGCTCTTGAGTTAACATCACTAAAGTAAATAAAGAAACCACGAATTCAAATTAATAAATGAAAACAAGGTGACAAGGGAGAGAAATGCAGAGAAAAATATCTTATTTTAAGTAAGAAATTGTTGTTTTTTTTAAACTAATAATACTGTGTTCTGTATATTGTATGTATTGCCCCAAATCTAAAATACCCTACTAAAACTCAGAATATCAAATTTCCTCCCGAAAAGTCCTGTTTGTGCAATAAAGCCAGCATGACAAACGTTAGGCTATCAAACTACTGCAGCCATTTTAACACCCTGCTCATGACTGATAGGCTATAACATTGGTTCTGTTAGAGGGATACCCCTGATGCTACGCAGGCAGCAATGTGTCGGCACAGCTGAGCTCTGTAGTAAACTATTGATTGAGTTTTTCTCACAGCCTCACAGTATTTAATGCCTGCCAAAGCAAATGCTTCAGCCTTGGAATGGTCCATAATGCCTCTGTTGATGTTTTCTTTTTTGTTTGCCTAAAGGTACAGTTAACTACACTAGACAATGCCATATGTGTTTTATGTTTATGTCTTATAAGAAAACATAAACCTCATGGACTCTTATGTTATTTTTGTTTATGTCTTATGTTTACATGATGTTCAATGGATTTAGAAAATCTGAAGGCCTTTGTTTCAGTGAGGGTTCCCGGACAGAGGATGTCGTGTGTGTGTGTTGTTGTAAAGCCCTCTGAGGCCAATTTTTTATTTGTGATTTTGGGCTATACAAAATAAATTGAATTGAAAATTGAATGTGAAATCCTTTTGATTTGATTTTTTTTAAAAGAATATTTATAGAATTAATTTTCAAAGATTTTTAAATGTTGACATTTCAGTCAGGAACAAAATGGCCTGATGAAAATATCCCAAAGGGGCTTGGAGTATTGTGGAATGTGAACACATGATCTTATTTTGAACCAGCACTAACTGCATTATATGTTGGTTAGCTCTGTATTGTTCCTGATAGTGTTATAGACTACGTGATGCTGCAGGCTCCAGCACAGGTAAAACACGGATGATTGATGACCCAATGAATACATGCCCTTGTCGGTGCGTTTGAGATGCGCTTCCGCTGGTAATTTCACGCAGCTTATTTGGAGTCAGTAAATCGGGACGGGGGGGACGTGTCCGTCTCAGGACCTCCCCTACCGCCCGTCACCATGACAACAGCCGTGGATGGAGGAGGAGGAGGAGGGGGGGGGGCATGCGGAGCTTAGACAGGTGTTGCTGGGGTTTGCGCATCGGCCGCGAGATCGTTTGGCAGGATGGGAGCTGCGAGAACAGCGACGCTTCCCCACCACAGTTTCCCATGCGTTCTGCAATATTTCTCTTTGTAATACGGAATTCAATTAACGCCGGAGACCAACTGAACGTCGCAATGGTGCACCACTCGGGCTCCATCCAGTCCTTCAAGCAGCAGAAAGGTTGGTCGCTAAATGGGATAATTACGCGTTTTTACGATTGATGTTTTGAGCCGAGTGTGTCGGGTGTTGACTTTTTCTTCTCCAGTTAGTTAGTTTGTGATGTTAAATGGCACTCGAAGGCATCGGACTCTCCACTTGCTGTGCGCGTGACGCAGAGTTGGAGGTCTTGCGCGTCCTCCTCCTGTTTATGAACCTTGTGCCCTCTCATAGTCTATCCACTAGTTTATGTAACGTTGACTTAGGTCGTTATTTGTTAGTCTGGAGGCTTCATAGATCCAATTAAACTGCATAATTACCTTAAATATTTTTACATTGATCAGTTTTTACTATTTAAGCCATGTTTGTTACAGTGGGTGATTGCCGTTGATGCTGCACCAAGACGAGACTTTTCACAAACAAGCAATGCAGATCTCTGAAAGGTTTTGTTGTTTTGAAGTTGCAGTGATTAGAACTGCACTCAGTCCTGTCCTTATGCATCAGCTCAGTGGGGTGTACAAGTGGGCTGTAAGCACTGATTGCATTCTGTTGTGCATGGGCTTCAGAGAAAAGATACAAACTGTTCCATACAAATCTGTTCAGGAGCAAGCAGAATAGTTTGTGCTAAAGGAGAAGTAGCTTGCCAAGAATAGCTGCACTCAGGCTTTGACAGTAATAGAAAAAAATGACTTGCTGCTGTTAGAAGTTCCTGTCAATCAGCAACTTGTGAAAAGCATCAGACTCCAGTTCATGTTGGTGTTCATTTGACACATTTACATTTTTGACTGGCAATAACATTTTGTATCAAGTGAATGAAAGATAATTGGAACAAATTTCCTTCGATCTATAAATAAACCCCTCTCATGTCATCAATCTGTGTCTTTCATTCAGCTTGATCACACTGCTGCAGCAGTATTGATTTTGAACCATAAGTAGGGCTTCTTTACTTTGCGTTAATATTTAATGTGGTGGCTGTCTAAATTTAGAGAAATGGTGGACAATCTTCTTGTTTTCATGCCGACACAGGCTCATAAACGGGGAGCGATGACCTCTTTTTGTTGAGGCACCTGGCTGAGGAGGATGAAAGGATCCATCCTCTGGCCTTCGGATGAGTGGAGAGGCTATCATCTCAAGAGTGAGGGGATGCCCTGCGGAAGAAGGTGTTAGTTTATCTGCTGGAGCTCATGTCTCTTTGCTGGTTTTGAGTGTGAAAACAAACTGAGGGAGTTTTTACAAAAAAAGAGAGGGGAAAGCAGACAATAAACTTTATTGTCTTCTGCCATTACATTCAAAAATGGACTGAGACACACATTTTGTGATCATCTAAACTGATTTTTATTGTTTTTATGTTTATTTCTATAGCTTAAACATTATACTGTACCTGATGGAGTGATCCACTTTCCTGGCTTCAGGAAACTCATTGCACAACATGATATCAGAGCTACTGTATGTACAAATCTGACTTCGGGCCTGAAGACCCACTCAATATTTCAGTGACTGCTAAGTGCACCATTAAATTGAAGGCAAAGAGGGTGTTGGCTCACAATGTCCTGCAAAAGCAAACATTTTGAAATGATATAGCCCGTCCTCAAACACAATCAGCAGCACACTGTGAGAGCATTTGTGTTTCTGTACCCGGGAGGTGAAAAGCTTTCTTAGTGTTGCTGGAGCCGAGACCTTTATTGCTTTATTGGTAATTCATCAAATATGAAAATTGATTCTAAATCAACTGCAAGTCAAGATTGTTAAGTTTCTATGGGAGTTAAATCTCTTCGCTTCAAGCTCTTCGCTGAGCTGAAGGTGAGGAAACATTTTTGATTGAAGAAAGAATGGAGAGATAGAAAAGGGATTAATTAAAATAAACAAGTCACTCAGTTAGTTAAAACTAAAATGCAGCTCCCGTTGGACCTCCAGACAAAAATGACTCACAACCGTCTGATATCACTCTCCAGGATTTGAGTGAATTTCAATGATCTTTGGCAGACTATCATGCATGTGTTGTTGAAACTTATTGACAGATGAAATATCTGCCAGAATGTATTCGCTTTAAGTATATCGACATTTAAATATAACCTGGTTTAACAATTGAATACTTCAGTCTTAAACAAAGCTTTGCTCTTGTTTGACATGTATTATTCTAGCGCTGCAACGTTTATTGGATTTATCAATTCGTCGATTGAATAAATAAATATAATAAACTATTTTGATAATCATTAAAATCATTTTTCTTTTTTTTCAGGCTCTCAAATGTGACAAAAATATGCTGCTCTTCTTGGTATCACATAATGGTACATTTAATAATTGGGGGTCATAAGACAAGACATTTAATGATGTCATCTTGTGCTGCAGGATATTGTGATTGTGAAATTTTAATTGGCAGATTGATCGATAATGAAAATAATCGTTAGTTGCAGCCCTATAGTATGTTTATATCCAGCACTGTCATCAGCGGTATTTACAATACAAACAACCAACTTCTCTTATAGTTTCTAAAGAATCAATATTTAGTATGAAACAATATCTGGCCCATAATCCTCATGGAAACACTTTATGGATTAGTGATTTATTTCTTTATTTTAATAAAAGTGTGTGTGTTTTGTTTGTCTGTAGGTTGGTTCACTGGTGGCTGCAGGACTGAGAGTGCTGTCCTCTGTTAACTACACTTTTTAACTTTGTATGTGTGCAAATACAGCAAGTGTGTGTGTGTGTTCATGTGCAAACCTTTGGTTGCACAGTCCTAAGCAGGCCACCTGTCCTCTTATGCAAGCAGGCAGATGGTTTCATAGATACAGACATTAATTTCAGTGCAGATTTGGGGAGAGCACATATACAGTATCAGCTGTGATTTAAATGGTCTGCTGTAGAATATTAGGCAGACGTCCGTTTTATGGAAGTTGATCCAGTCTGAGTAAATTGTAGCTGCCATGTAGACAAAGAGTTTACAAAAAGACAAAACAAAGAGGCTGTTTTGTTCTGCATGTGTGTGTCTTACAGTTACCAGCTTCAACACTTTCACGGTCTTTAAATAGTCAGCGGTTGTTTCGTTGCTAGGTTATAAGAACAATACAGGCAGAAGTTCTGTTGGAGCCCAAAGTTATCGTTCAGTTCAATCACGTCTGCAAAACACACATTGACTTTGGCGATTCTTGGTGGAACTAAAGTGTTCTGCTGTGACCTTTTTATGCTTGCTACAGTATAGTTCATATGCAGTCCCTGATGAGGTGTGTACACAGGGACACAGAAGAGGCTTTGCGGAAAATCCTGTGACGTAGTAGAAATCGCAAGCAATCGGGGGACATAAGAAGGATAGTGTGACGTTAAAGGGGCGGGGGTAATAAAGAGATTGAGAGAGGGAAGGAAGATGTTTAATCTGCTCAAATGATGCAATCCAGAGGTAGTGCCAGGATTGTATAATACGGTCCTGAACCGTTTAAACTGAGGTTAAAAGGTGCCTGCTGCTCAGAGGTGTGTTCACGGTCAGGCTGTTGGCCTCGGCTGCTCGTCATAGACGGACAACGGTGTCTGTGGAGCAAATTATTAGCTTCTTTTATAGACAGTTTTTCTTCGAAGTTTTGTTTTCTGTTGATCAGTGTCCAAAAATCATAATTACATCCACTGTGATTCAATGTTCAAATAAAACATGAAATTGTTGAAGCAGGTGAACAGTTTTATAGACGTCGGATTAAATGTTTTTCTTCGCCGTTTGTTAAAATGGTCATCTCCTGACGCTTCATGTTCAAATCACATATAAGTCAATAAGCAGTTTTGTGATATGAACACTGCATCAATTAGCTACAATTTATTGAATGTCATCACTGAAGTCAATAACTTGTGTTGTTAAGTCAATACTTTATCAGATTTGCGTAGTTAACCATAATTTCTCTTCAATAAATGAATGAATAACAAAGCAGACATAATTGTAATTGAGTGAATAAGATAATGTTGTGGTGAATCACACGGGACAACTGATATTTTATTATCACACTGAAACATTGACGGGGGGGAAATAGATTTTGAAGCCACATGCAGCAATGCCTGTACATGTTTTATGTCAAATTATCCTTTTCCCTGTTCTAAATAGAAAATCGGATACAAAAGTGTTTTGTGGTTTATTTTCACGTTTTCTGCCTGAAGAACTCGTGCGATTCATACCAGAGATCACTCATCATTTCATACTTGTCTTTGGTCAGCAAGAATTATCGGTGTGCCTCGAGTACTCGCCATGTAATGTAAAAAAAAATGAGCTGCATATTCAGTGGCTGCTAAAGATGCCGTTCTAAATACTCCCTGTGAACTCAGCTTCTTCTTCTGTGCCTCGCCTTAGTCCTGCCTCTGTGCGATAAGTTTTATAAACGCACCGCAACCTGCTTCTCTTCTCGTGTGTGTGTGATTTTTTTAT